GTATATGTGTTGTGAGCTATTGATTCAGCCAGTCATTGAAGCTCGCCTTTCTCTCCGCTGTTCTTTGAAAATGGCTGAGGGTTGTAAGAGAAAAAGTTTCTACTGCGTGTGTGATTTGTCTATGCCGTGCTCCGATGTGGGATACAGGACCAGATTTTTTTTTGTCTGTTGTTTTTGAGCGATGGCATGCGTTTCAGGTGGTGGTCGGCCTTCCCTTTGTTGTCTTTGTTGCTATGTTTCTGCTTTTTTGGTAAAGTTTGGTATGCTTTTTGTTTAAATTCATTTCGTGTCATTTGTCTTGATTTTTGTATGTTTCTTTTTGTTTTTGTTCTTTCATTTGTTTTTGAGGCGTTTCCTTTTTGGCTTTTGTTTGGGTTTGTGGGTCTGGTTTTTTTTTCAGTTTTTCTTTGTGTGTTTTTGTGCTGTTTTATCTGTTTTTTTACTTGGGTTCCTGATGTTTGTATTTTTTTTCTTTTTTCACTAATATAATTAGGGGTATGGGAAAAAACTGCGTGGTAATATATCGTGATTTTCTGCTGCCCAATATAATATCGACCTCACACTTCCTAATATGATTTATTTTTTTTATTTAAAACAAAGAGGGAAAATGGGCTATCTCTGCACAGCCATTCTGGTAGATGGCACCGTGAAGCACTTTTGCTGAGCGCCGCAGCACCATTTTTGTAGTTGAGGCAGTCACAGTAGAAGACAGACTCAAACTCCAAACAACATGGATTCAGATGAACATATACAGCACTTGCTTTTTTATCTTTACATTCCACTCCCCTCACTGGAGGACTTGCAGAGCGACCGCTGTCTAAAAAAGGCACAACACATCACAAAGGACACTTCTCATCTCGGACATTCTCTGTTTACACTGTTGCCTTCAGACAGACGATACAGAGCAATCAGAACAAAAAACCAACCGTCTTAGAGACAGTTTTTACCCGACAGCAATTACAAAACTAAATGCAACCAAAAATAACCATTAATCATCATGGATGATGTGTGTGAGAATGTACTACCGGTATTCTTATTAGTTGTTTTGTATCAGTTATTGTTATTTATTTCTTATAATATGTGTAAATTGTGGGACAGTGATTTCTGTTTTTGTTTTTAAGCATATGCACTGATCGACGGCACTTTTTAAAATTTCGTTGTTCTTGTGACAATGACAATAAAGATAAATTGTATTGAATAAATTGAACTGAATTTTGATAGCAGGATAAAATATCGCACTATATAGTGATACTGCGTATTGTGACCTAAATATTGTGACACATATCATATTGCAACACACAGACCACCCATTAATATAACTTAAATAAATATTAATAAAAATAATCCTAGCAAATGATGCCCACCAAAATAACCTCATTGTTTCCAGAGATGAAGCTCTTTCTAAAAATGTTAATTCACTCATTTGTTTGGGATGAGGTACCACATTAATTCAGGCTACTGTAATCGGCACACACATATGCGTGCAATCCCCTCTCCAAAGGGTGCTGCTTTGATTTAATTGAGCCCCTCTCAGACGCACACAGAAATTTAAACCATACGCATAATCAAACAGTAACACACTGAGCCCCCTCACCCACACAAAAATACACCTAATATTTTATTCCAGGCAGCGGTGAAAGTCCCAGACATATGTAAATAAACCTCATATAAACCCGTCCCACCTCCCCACCCTTTGGCCCTATCCCGTTGTTGTTAAACCAAACCACTGAACAAAGCAGGAGACAAAGCCAGGCTGGGTCGCAGGCAAAAATAGATGCACACTATGGTAAAACAGTTCCCTTGAACATCACAAAGTATTAAAAAACACTGAGACCGAGTTAATTAGGACCACAGTGACAGGAGTGTTCACTATCCACAAACCCTTTTAAAGATGCTTTTTATTTTGCTCAAATGAGTCACAAAACCAACCAGTGGTGCCAGTTTCTACAGCTTATAAAAACTCAACAACAGTGTTAAATAATAAAACTGAAACCCTGGTTTTTAAAGCTTTTTTAAATTAAACTGCAGACTTCACTCATTTTAAATCAAGAGCTTATAATTTGTGTTTGTGTGTCTGAACACGTGTGTGACTGAGCACATGTGGAAAACTGAGCCGCTGGGCTGGTCTCTCCCATTATAACAGGGCGCGTTGAGGCCAACTCCTGATTTAAACATCAGCTGTCATAAATGTTTCAGAGAGGTGGAAGGAGAGGAGGACATCGCTGGCAGCTTTTAGAATGGGTAGGGAGGTGGGAGTGGCTGCTGTGATGACAAACTGGGTGACAAAATCTGTAGGACTGGTGTTTATATTGAACATGAGATATTAGATCTGCTAATGTTGAAAAAATGAGATAAAGATATATTTTGTTTCACACATGATTGTCAGTTTGCGAAGGACGGCCGTGCAGAGACTATAATCTGGAAACTGAAGATCTTAAATGACAAGAAAAACAATGAAAAAAGCAGGAATTTATGCAGTGAAAACAAAAAATGGAGCAGAGGTTACACAGAAGATTCCAGCAACAGTGACAACCAGAGGGCTGAATACAGAGGAAAGTTTGGAAAATAACAACAAATGCAGGTGGGTCCAATAGGTTACAATGTGGAACTGATTACAATGTGGAACTGCTAAGGCAGAAGAAAAGTAGTGATGGGAGGAGGAAGACTAATGAACATTTAATGTGAATCAGAAACAAAAAAAAACACTAAACCAAGCGATAATATCTACCAGATGTAAAGCCAAGTGTACGGAGAACAAGACACAAGAAACCATTATAAACTAATAATAAAGGAATTAACTGATATGGCAACACATTAATGAACATAAAAACAGGACAATGATAAAAAGAAGACATCCAAAAAAAGAGAGAGACCCAAAACACTAACCTCTAAAGATCAAAACATCTAGTTTTTGTAATTCAAATTTAAAAAGCATTCAGAAAAAAAAGCACATGTTATATGTTATATTTAGAATAAGTACACCTTAGAACATATTTGTGCCACATATCACCCTCTACTGTACATCTATTGACATTCCTTCGTTAGGAATTATGTACTTAGTAACATACAGCATATTGCAGGATGGAGGTCTTCAACAGGGGTCCGTGATCCCTAAGGGATCCGCGGAGGTACTGCATGGGGGTCGCGAAAGTTTGGGTTGATTAGACTTTTTTTTTTAATAATTTAAATAATGTCTTTAGATTCACATTAACATGAATTCAACACACTGTAGTAAACAGATAAATGGAGGCAGAAGATGTCTTTCAGTCATCAATGCACACATTTGTTGGAAAACATGATGATAGTCAGCAGCAGATAACTTTACAAATGTAAATACATCTGACTTTCTTGTAACAAGAATAATATGAATATTCGCATAGTGAAATAAAAGAAATTAATTATTTATTTGGCATATAGACATACAGTTAGGACCTATTCTGTGTGTTTAATCACTTGTAAAATTTTGAATTACAAATATTTATTCATTTATTCAGGATATCACATTTTCATTATTTGCATGCATCTCTAGTTTTTTTAATAATTAATTTTTTTAATCACAATATTTCAACTTAAATATATTGCATTTGTGGCACTATTAGGCAAGAAAAAAATGATAGAGAATGTCAGTGTGTTCAAAAACAATAATTGGTGAGGATGCAATATTTAGAAAGATAGTTTTTTCCAAGTGCTGCAAACTCTGCCAATAATGTGTTTGGCTTGCTGAATGGACTTTGATTGCTACCAGAAATAGTGTTTTTTGGATTTGTGCAGGTTTAAAAGAATATTTAAAATACAAAATCTAACAGAAATGCTACAAAAATTAAGATGATTGTAACAAAACCATAGCCATGCATTCCTGTAGGCTACAACACAGAGAGAGTATATTTAATGGGATTTATTTATATAATTATTTATGCTTCAGCTTCTTTTACAGCTTTCCAATTTACAGTACATCACTGATTCTACAACTGCCTCCCTGTCCCCTTATAAATGATGACAACATTATACAACTGCAGAGATTCTGTTTGACTTTTTTCATTGAATATTAATAATGATCCCCATCTGCCTACTTGAACATCTCAGGAGAAGCTTCTGTTGCCATGCAGCCATTTCTTTGACATGTTAGTTGAAAGTACATTTACTTTTATTTATTGAGGAGTCATTAAATAAAATTAGAAAGTTTCTTGTAAAAAAAATGAGCAGCATAGTTTGACAAATTTTTGACAAGAATCTTTATTTTAAATGTGTGAAGCCAGCCTGATTATTGCAATGTTGGACCTTAAACACAATATCAGATGCTGTTTGCCTTAAACGTAAAGATACCCTTAAGAAGAGGGGAGTGGAGGTGGTGTTTATCTATAGTCAATTTGTTGTGGACAGGAGCAGTCAGACACATTTGTTTTATAAAGGGGAATACAGGTCAGGGTCACAGGAGAAGGCTTTTATCACCTCACCGCTGACGTATGATCAATAGAGAAACAGCTCCTCAAGCATTCACTTTCCCTTCCTCTCTTTATTCTCCGCGCCTTTCTATTTTAAACACATCATCCATCTCCCACTTCCCACTTTTGATCTTTTTCCCTGAAAAGTTTGTTTTTATCTATGATGCATAACAAAAACTCCAAGGTCACAAAACAGACTCATAAATCAGGAGTTCTCAGCTCGAGTAATGTCGCCACCTGCTGGAGGAAACATTTAGTGCCTCTGGATGTGCTGTGCTGACACTGGCACTAAGAATTCAATTAACTAAATAGCAAGTTGAATTAGGCTAAATACAGAGTAAGTGCTGATATGAGGAAATACAGATGACGGAGTGAAGGCCGATACCAACAACTAAGCACTCACATTAAAATTTTGATTTAATAATCTTAGGCAGGGGAGATAATTGAAGCAATTTTCAAATGGCACAAAATACTAATACCAAATGAAAATAAAAGAAGATGAAGCCTGAATCATGTTTAACCTAGGGGGAATAAAGCTGGAAAGAAGTAAAGACTGACCTGAAGTTGTTCTTTAGGGGCTTCTGTCGGCTTCATGTGGCTAAAAAAAGGAGAACAAGAATAAGTGAATATGTTAAAGAAAAGAAGAAAAAGCGAGATGAAAGAAAGGAGATGTTCGGCAATGTAACAAGAGGAAAAAAGGCTGTCCAAACAGTGTATACCTCTGCTTTGATACTCACCCTTTTTCTTTTGTGTTTGATCTGCTTGTCTAACAGGTGAACAGTACCATAGACTCATGCTTTTTTTTTTTTTTTTTTAAAAGGAGCCTGTACTCCCATGGATGGCTGCTGCAGGCTTTCAAGTGCTCAAAATGTGGATGCAGCTCAGGCTCATGGAAAAAACATAAACCCTGCTGCGCTTCAAGGGTTGCTGATTGTGGACTCTCAAATCGGGTAGCAAACATATAACAAGAGCTAGTGATGGATCCCAGTCATGTGTCAGAGAGCTTTGAAAGTAATGCTGCGGTTACTGCTGCACAACTTTACAATACGGAGCCAGAGCGTGCACAGAGGGCAATTATACTCTCAGGCAAGTTTGAAGATCAATTGGTGCAAGTCCCAGTAGGATGATGTATCTCAGAAGACTAGGAGTTAAGCCGTGTTACACACGGCCAGAGGGAGAGGTCAGATCAAAAGGTTCATTTATAGTAGTGGGTGAGTGGATGGAAATAGGTTCCACACAGACTTACAAAGCTGCTTCTGTTATCTTTATAAATTTGCTTCTCTCCTTTTTTGCAGATAACATCAGCATCTTTCTGTTAAAAATGTGCTAAAATAAGGATTTTGTTGGAGATGATCGACAAGAATTTACAAAGATTTGAAAATGTATTTTCAGTGTGCATATATGCAGACAATTTAATTAATATAACTGTGTGCAATCAACAATTACATTTTGATAACATGTTTAAAAACTGTCTGATACAGAAAAATTCGAAACTATGTGCTAGAACTGCTGCTCAACCACATCATACAGCCTTTTTAAAAATAAAAAAAAGACATTTAAATTAGTGAAGAAAATAAAGAAAGGGTTTTTATGTCATTTTTAAGGCTACAAAATAACAACCAAAAGTGATTAAATGGAAAATATGTGAAGAGCTACATGGTGCAGTGGGGAATCTTAAGATGGACAAAGAGCAATGATTGAGCTGACATACTGTAGGAGAGAGAGCTGTTAGATAGAACCATACAGATCTTAATATAAAGAGCTTTATTTCCCACAGTAACAGAGCTAAACTAATGGGCAGAAGCTCTGCAATAACACATGGGAGTCCTGACATTCCAGCACATTAACAGCCTGTTTTATTAAACAAACCCATACACACAGCATAAATGAAACCTGATACACACTGGAGATTATTGGGGGTTTAGCTTTTGACAAATCCTGGAACATAGAAGAAGCTTCTCCCTTAAACTCCCAAAGATCCAAAGTTATTAATAAATCAGCTGCTCCAGTAAGAAACATGCACCATAAGTCCAAAGAACTCTAATTTCCCTTGATCTTTTCTTTGTTAGAGCAAATCAATGCTAAATGAGAAATCATCCAACCAGCAGCGAGCCGGTAGCTTTCCAGACGCATTTGATCAATAGTAGAAATCAATATTAGTCGCTGCCTTAAAAAGCGGAGGAATGAATCCAAGTATCTTCTCACTTTACACCCATCATTAAAGACTTTCTTTGCAGTGTAACATGCAGATGGGTACTTCTCTGTCTATGTGCTGAACAGCCACTATTATGATGACCCCTGTCTACCACAAAGCAGAAGAGCTCTACCTTTTTTTTACTAGGGTTAGTAAGAAGTGTGTATGAATGTCAGAGTTTTGGGCTTTTCAGGATCCTTTTCAGTAGATCTCAAAAAAGGGATGGATCAAGGAAACAGTATCTGTTAGAGTTTTCAAAATCAGTTTACATTTATTGTAGATTTTCTCTACACCATACATACTGTAGTCAAAGATTAAGATACAAGCTCAAATGTATACATCCACACCTATTGGTTACATGTCTCCTATAGTTTTACAGCTTTGCCACATACTTTTGTAGCAGTCGACATAATTTCAGCATGCTATATTTATGACCGGATATCTGAGCCCTTTCCCAGACATAATAGATGGATGTTCTTCTTTTTGTTTGTTTTCCAAAAGTGGTCGATCTCAAGACCTCAGATAAAATGACATTATGAGGATGAGTCAAAAAACCCTGAAACCGCCAAGTCGCAAAGAATGGAAAAATACTTTAATATGGGATACAATTTTATATCAACATGGAGGGAAAGGATGCTAAATGAGAAGTTAATGCAAGCTAATGGAAAAGCTAATTGGATTTGGTAGGATACGGTAGAAAAGAACTACAGTCAGAGGAGATCATTAAACTGTCAGGCATGGTGATGGAGGCATCATGTTGTGGACTTGTTTGATCAGCAAGGAGAGTACTTCATACACATAGAGGATAGAATGTGACTGAAATAGACAGAAGTAGTTATTTAACTATCTTTCAAAAAAGTTAAACATGAACCTAACATTTTGGTGGTTATAATACATGTGTGGTTGAACTAGTTAAGGGACATTTAACCAAATATTAAAGGTATAATGGAGGATTTTCGCAAAAAAGACCCACCCTCTCCATTTAAAAAAAAGAAAAAAATGCACATGCACAACCCTGTACCCGCTCATACTGTACAAGTTTACTTTCTAAAAAGTTTGCAATTTTTCATCTATGTACATGTAAGACTCATCACCAGTAAGTGAAACTGGGGACGAGCACATAGGACGGCCTTATGTAAACATATCACCAGAATGATTGACAATTAGGAAGACCTCTTATTTTGATGATCCACCTGGAAAAAGAAAATCCTCCGCTATACCTTTAAAGGGTGTGTATTTATATATTTGAGCTATCAGTTAAACTTTTGATTCTGTGTGGATTGGTGGAAATATGTAATACGGTAAAAGGAAACTTGTGTCCTTGCTTTTTGTTTAAGAAATTCACTGATGCTGATTATTGTAGGATCTTTTCATCCAAATTGATATGACATTCAGCTTTTCACTGCTAGGCAACTATTTTTAAAACATTATCATAGCAAAGGTCTGTTTGTTTTAATTTTGTATAATTTCATGATTGCACCGTAAAATTAGTAAAGCTTTTTAATTCAAGGAAAAAAAAAACGGTTTAATTACTTGTGAAAAAATACCTTAAGCAACAGGATTATAATTTTTTTTGTTTTATAAAATGTCTGTATATTTAAAACTCTTTAAGTCTAAGATTCATTTTTAAATTAAAAAGTGCAATACATTTTTAACTATTCATAACTTGAGCATTTCAAATTTTAGTCTACACAGCAGCTAACAGCTAAACTTGATAAGCAAAGGCATAAAAGAATAAAAAAAAAAGGGCAGTAACAGAGGCGTAGCCAGAAATTTTTTATAAGGGTGGCCAGGCAATAACCAATGTAAACTGAGGGGTGTCTGAAAGTTGATAGGCACCAGAACCTCAGGGTCAATCTACAACCGGAAAATTAATGGGCACAACATCCATATTTTCTAAATAAAGACTAACTATACTTTTCTACAACCTTAACTGACAAATAGACACATAAATATTTCAACATCTGTGCTTTCTAGATGAAAGGTGTAGTGAATACAATTCTTTTGAGGTTTGAGTTTTGGGCGAACATCTTTTCCATTGTCATTATTTATCTACTTTTATCAACAATCATTCAGCATAAAATTGATATTTACAAGTACTAATATCTACATAAATTGATTATTTAATACATTTTATTAAAATAGCTATTAATCAATAATTTTAATGAAGACTCTAAGATGATTTGCAGCAACGCATAATTTTTTCTTCACCTCATAACACACAAAATCTAGTCCTGAAAAAAACATGAATTTTGTACTTATCATCTTTAATGTTAGTATATTGATGTGCACAATTAACCACAGTGTTTTTGTTGTCAAGTAATTGTTAATATATGAAAAATTTAGATGTTTTAAATATTCCACTTGAGATTTACTGCTGCCACCATCTGTATTAAAGGGGGGGCAAATGGTAGGGGTGGCCAATGATTGGCTAAGGGTGGGCATGGACACCCCTGGCCCCCCCATCTAGCTCTGCCCCTGCACAGTAAGTTCCTAGTTTGTGGTCTGACTGGTGCAATTCTTGTTCACTACTCTGATCAAGCTACTTGGAAATAAGATAAAGGAAAAATGCTTAAGTTTTAATTAAAACCATTATTATTAGAAAGCAAAAAAAAACAAGTATAAAAAAATAAGCATTCTTTCGTTGGTCATCACAATAACAGAATTAACCCAAAATGAAAAAGTAACAGAAACTCACCAGTAAATGTCATAGCCTTTTCTCTTCTCCGAGTCCCTTTCCTTCTCATTTAACTCCAATCCATCACTTTCAATAGCTTCTTCGACTTCCTGGCTAACAGCAGTCTCCTCTGCATTTCTATCTGTGGATTGAAGTGCTGCACCTGGGCCACCAGATGGCAGCACTTCTTCACTAGGAACAGTGGGTTCAGCAGGGCTTTTTTGGATGACTGCTACATCTTCTCCATGTTCAGACTGTGTTTTGGAATCAGCTGAAGAAACATCTGGGATCTTGTCCTCCGCCTCAGCTGAGTGGACTTCTTCCATCAGAGCGTCAGTTGTATCTTTTTCTTTACACTTAGACGTCTTGGCCGAGGAATCTGAGAGTGTCACTAAAACCTCTCTCTTTTCTCCTGCAGGTCTCTGACTCTGACTTCTGGTGATGCTGCTCTTGTCTTTAGTCTTCTTGCTACTGCTTAGAGTTCCTGCAATCATAGGGTAAAATTACAGAACTTAACATTTCCAGAAAAGGACAATAAAAACACTTGCAATAATGTGTTAATTACCAATCCTGCTTTTATTCACCTTTGCACTGTTTGTCCTTCTTTCTCGTCAGCAGTCGAGGCAGCGTGCCCACATGTGTGTAATCCTGACTGGAGCGCACATAGCTGGCAGTGCGAGGTCTCATTGCCCCCATATCATCCAGTGTTGTCTCAACAATAGGACCTAACTGTCCTGAGGCAGAACATTCACCCTCTTGTCCAGACTTGGACTTGGAGGCCTTTGAGTCTGATTTCTCCGTGGAGCGGCGAAAAGAGATGTTGGTTAGGCTGCCGAACCATTTGAAACCTTAAAGGGAACAGTTGGAAAGGAGTTAACCTTGAGTATGTCCAAACAAACATATAACACCAGCAGGGATATTATAAACAGCAGCAACTGTATAATTTCATACTCATACTGTAGAGATTCCTTTTTTCTTTAAAAAATGTACATTTAAATGTTTCTTTTTTTGAAGTTTTAAGAAACCCCTAAAAAAAAAGATAGCAGATCTAATATGGCACATGTTCTCAACCAACTGAAAAGCAGAAACAGAGCTAAAAGGGAAGGGTAGCAGACCCACTCAAGGTTAACCACAATGTGGACATCATACTTTGCATCTCAACGTGCATCATCAACGATGGTGCAAATTACACAGCAGTTTACCTGCTTCATCTGCTGTAACTTCTAACTGCTCCTTTAAAAGGATAATATTAACTGCTAAAATATTTAGCTTTTCTTGGGCATTTAATCTACTTTTAAAAATGTATTGAACGCAGCTACAGTAAATATAAATCTTCATTTAACCCCAGTGTTTCCGTTGATGATGCATACCTCTATTATTAATCCCATGCACTCGGAACAGTCAGTCAACAGGGCAGACTACATGTATGTATGCAGTCCTGATACAACAAATCATTTTAATGTCTTGTTAAACAAGACTTAGACATGTAAGCCTGAACTTATTGTGGATTTCTTTTAACACAAAGAGAGTCTTAAATTAGACACAAAGGCTAAATTAGATTAAATTAAGCTTAGGCAGTTTATAAAGCTTTGACTCTGAAGATTTATGGACAGTCGGCGAGAAAACAATAAAGAGAAAAAAATCTATTTTTTTTTCTGGCATGTAAAATCCACAGACATTGGGTGTCCTCACTTTTGTTGCAGTTTGAGGAATACCAAACGCTGGCCTTACACTGAAGCTAAACATGCTACACTTTTAATCTTGCTGGTAGATTCTTAGTTTTAATCAAACAAAATTTTTTTTTTTTTTTTATCCGAAATGTTGGGCTACTTTTGGTAATCTTTAATCCAAAATATGATATAAACAAGAGATTCAAGCTTGAGCTGGATTATTGTCCTGAAAAGAGATGCTTTGAAAGACAGAGTCCATTATATGAAATCCTAATTCTACTATAAAAATGTTGGGTTTTCTCTGCTTTATTATCACTTTTAATTTAAATCAACATACAAACTAAACTTAGCAATTGTTTATGGACTATAGCCATAAGCCGGCAATCTTTCTGTAAACTAATCTTACTTTAAACTAACCACTCTGCAAAAGAATGTTGATAATCCTTTCAATATATTATCAGAAGATGGTTAATGGCTACATTAAATAACATATTTAAGGCCCATTTTGCTGGAATCAACCTAGTTTATTCTGTGTTTCTTTCAATTCTTGAGGCTGTATGCATAATTTAGTAACTTAAAATCATTTACAGTAACACGTGAAAAAAAAAACAGATTTTAAATTTAGATGTGTACATTCTATTTCCTGTTTGTTTTATAGTTCTTTTCTTTTTTTTTAACTCATTAAAGTTCCATAACCATTCCAATAAACAAATTTAAAACATAATTAAAAACCCAAAAGTTTTAGATGTATTTATAAACTCTCCTTTTTTTTTTTTTTTTGCTTCTCTAATGTTGGGAAAGTAATATAAATGAAACTAAAAGAAATTTGACTCTTTCTTTCTGCCTGTTTAGCCAAGATGTTCTATTAAAAGTTAATGTCATGAAAAGCAGAATGAGTAATTACTAGCGTGTAAATAATAATTGTTTTGTATCGATGCGTCAATCCAACAGCTGACGATCCGATGCATCGACATGTCCGCAAGAGTATCGATTCTTTTTTTTTTCCTGAGGTCTATTTTAATCCATTTGCTCTTACGTAATTTCTGACTCCTGTGCTTCGGTGTCGCTAACCTATTTTGCCCTCCTACCTCGCTACCACTACAATCTTTCTTGCACACACACACCTGCATAAACAGTAGGCAAGACAGACATGGTGGAGGAAAAAGGTGACTTACACACCCCTTGTGGTTTCAAGTCATTTGTGTGGAAGTATTTCGGGGTGTATTCTTGAGTATCGAAAATAATGGAATAGTTGGGTCAGGAATACTGAATCAAATCGCCAAATGTGTGTGATTTACACCCCTAGTAATTACAAATTATTCTGTGTACTTGATTCTCTCTGAGTCATACTCAGATTCACTAAGGGAATTTTTCAGTCAGCCTTTCGTCACCACAAGTTTGACTTGATGCATCACTTTCTGTGCCACAGTGAACATAAACCTCCACATAGAAGATCAGCTCTTTTAAATTATTATTTTTTTTTACTTCTGCAGCTAAAACATTGCAGAACTGGATGCTGTGGCAACATCTGTAAATAGAACAACAAAGCTTAACAATGGTGCCCACAGGTTCACACAAGCACAAGTTATACTCACTGAGTTTCTTTAGGCTCATGGTGGCGCCCAGCTGTGAATGAGTGACTGATGGATCAGCCGCAGCAAAACAGAGGAGAACCTGAGAGGCAGCTTCTTGTCAAACAAGAAGACGAGCTTTCTGTCAGAAATGGGTAAGGTGTTGCTGACACTATGCGCTGGAGAGCAAAACTGAGAGATGAGCAGCAGGGGCAGGGCAGACCTTTACTTCCTGTGAATAAGCTGCAAACAACCATGTGAAGAGGAAATGAAAAACCCCAAAATAAGAAGACACGACTGAAAAGCTCCGGAAAAAAAAAAAAGATAATTGATGCAATGCCAGCAGAAACTAAAGCAAATAGATATGTTGCTTTTCAAACTAAAGTGTCTTTAAAATAATCTAAATATTAGACGATTTATTTTATTTCTGACATTACATTATACATCATAAAATGTGTTACAAATTTAAGTGTGGTAATATTTTTAGCTTCTAAACGGTTTGTATTGAGGGCCATTGAAGGTACTGAAGGTACTAAGATTATGCTTAACCATCGGTTTGTCCAAAAGATATGGATTTAAATAAGTTTTTGTCAAGTATCATGATGTCATATGTGAGATAAAATGAGACTTACAGTAAATAGAATAAATTACAGCAAAGTTTAAAATGTTAATTAACTGAAGAGGAAGTGAAATGAGTCCCCAGAGAGTGTCAGGAGAACACTGAAATATTAGGAGGGAGTTTAGAATCTCAGGTGGGATTTAGAGGCAATATGGATTTTAAGCTTTTTAGTTTCTGCTGGTTTGCAGGATGTTAAAAAGGCAAGGAGTAACAAGGACAGAACCTACGAGTAGTTTCAGGAGGATCTAAGCAGACTTAACAAGTAAAGTGGCTACGAGTTTCTTAAGACTGAGGTTAGTTTCACTATAGTAATTCACTGGGAAGCTAAATAAAAGACAAGCAGGTGCTGAAACCAAATAGCTCTACTTCCAAAAATATTGAGTGATGTAAATCCAATGAAGGCCTCCAGTTTGTGAGGGATGATCAGGCGTTGGTGCATATTGGAGCACAGCTGCATAGGATAAAAAGAAAAACTAAAACAGCACAGAGCGGGATCAAACCACCAGGATCAGCATGGATGTGCCTCTTACAAGAGGAATGGAACTGTGATTAGCGCATACTGCAGCACTGAAGCTTGGTAAATTGGAATTCAGAAATATTTTCAAGTTGGATTTTTTTTTTCTTTTATTCATTTAATGACAGACTGGGCTCTTACAGGTATTTCGCTATACATATAGCTTTGTAATCAGCTCAAGTGCTTCTAACATGATAATGGGTCCTAATGATACAGTGAAATGATAATTCAGTTAAGACTAAAATGAACAAGAACTGTGAGAGGTGATGGAACATTATTAGCTGTAGATGTTAACCAGAAAAATATTTACTCTCTTCTTCAGAAGGTATGCATATAAAACTGCATATTTTCTTAAAATTATAATTAAATTAATGGGGAGTGTTGGCCTAGTCGGTTAGAGCAGTGTGCTTGTGCTCTAAGAAGGTTGTAAGTACCTGGTTTGATCCCCAAAGCCTCCACTCTGGGTTCCTGACCAAAGCCCTGAACCCCACACTGCTGCCTGGGCGCCGCACAATGGCAGCCGACTGCACTTTTGTGCATCCTCAGTGAATTAAGACTGTTTATAATCAGCTGAACTAATTGTAGCTTCACACACTTGCACTAACATTACAGCTTTGCAGCTGCAAAAACCACAAATATTACACTGCAAAGGTCTAAAGACAGTCACTCTACTCTAAGAGATAAAGTAGATGATATAGGTAACTTTAAATTTTAACGTTTTCAATAACATTTGTAATTGTTTCAAATAAGCTTTTGTTAGCATAAGATTAAATTTATACTAAGACTTTGTTCACATTTAAAGAAATTATTTTTTGAGCACATAGATGACACATAGAAAATCCTGCATTTAAACAGCTCTTTTGTGCAATGTGAATGAGTTTTTTATGATATGAGGTGATGTGTCACTCAGAGTGTCAGATGAAAGCAAATTGGATTTGATCTCATTTTTGATTGGGGCCAAAACTATATTAATTCCTGTTACCTCTAAGTCAGATAGATGGATTCTAAAGAGTAAGACTTTGCTGAAATCTTTTACATCAGCAATATTTATCCAAGCTTTCAAAAGGTGCAGGGCTGAAACAAGTAATTGGATTAATAGTGATTAATTGTTTATTAAAATAATGGTCAACTAATTAGGTATTCGATTAGTTGTTAACTGGAGTATAGAAACTCTAAAACATGTCTTTAGCTGACAGAGAAACCCAATTAGAGCAGTAATTATAGGAAAAGTATAAAAAATATAAATATTTTACATCTAATATAGAAAATGTTCCATCTATCAACTCCAATAAGCTCTATTCAGAACTTCTCAAGTGGAAAAGTTTTATTTTCACCTGGTTTAATTTGGCTATCCATTTATCAATAAATAATCAACAAATTAATCGATTTTCAAAATAATCGTTAGCTGCCACCTTGAAAGCTACATATGAATTTCTTCAGATTTTACAGAATTAGTAATTTTTTTTCACAGTTCTTGCAAATCACCTCACTTGGGGAAAAAAAAGAGATTGCCTCTGGTTTATAGGGACACATATACCCCTTTCCCACTGACCAAAAAAATCCTGTTTAAACCTTGCAAAAATGGTAATGGTTCACTGAAGCATGTCTAACTGAGACAAGCAACTCATCATGCAACCCAGATTAAAATCACCTTCAAATGGCTCGGCTCCCATCGGCATAAAGTGGGACCATCAGCCAAGGATCGACCTGCTAATTTACATGATACCATTGAACGCAACATATGGAAATCAACGCACTGTGCCAGTCCCATCTGATCTAACAAGCCAAAACAACTCTGCTGACATTCCATAAACATGGGGCAGCTCATGTAAGAGGGATTGGGATAAAAGATAAAAGAGCGAAACAATAAAGCACACTTACCACGCCTTCGCTTCCTTCCATGTTGCTCTCCCTTGTTTACTTTCCTGATTTCTGTCACACTTGTGACATCATCAACGCTAACAAAGTTAGATGGTGTCACCAAACGCTCAGCTGCGGGGGGACATGGCGCGTGCCTGCCCAGCTTTTTTTGCGAATGGTTGGGGAGGCAAATCCCAACTATTAGTGCTAATGCCAACACGCGTTAACATGTTATTTTCAGTGGGAAATAGAATTTATAGACTATAGAAAGGGGTATTTTTGTTTTATTTCCACCTGTTTGCTAAATTTCCAGCTACAGTGCAAAGACAATATGCCATTAGTATTGTACTTCATGTACTCTAAGATGTACCTAAGATACAATAAAAATAGCATGAGCATTCCTTTTACTGCCAGCCCAAGGGAGTAGTGTCCATTCATGTTTTAAGTCTCTATTCTGTTGTTGTAAAAAAAATTTTTGTTATATCTTTTAACTTATCATTTTAAAAATAATGACACTTTGAGGAAAGTTATTGTTAGAAGAAACTTGTTTTTTTTTATTATCCAATGTCTAATGCATGCACACTGTATTTACATATTATAAAGCTGTAATCCAGTTAAAATGATCTGCTGTTTTATATACAGGTTATGTTAACCACAGTTTAGTCCACACTCAAACAAAAACCTTTCAACTGACTGATTATGGTTCACTTCCTGTTTACTTGCTGGGTTCGGCTTTAGTAAAGATGCCCTTCTCCTTCCTGTCAGTACACTGCACCACAGCAGCGTTGCATGAGTATGAACTGTGAAAAGATTACTGTAAGCTGATACTCAATGTTTCAGATAGAAGATCAGAAACACCCATCACTTTTCTCCCCAATAATGAAGTAGCATGAAAAACTGATATTAACTGCTATTTTTTATTTGGGATAAACTATGTTTAAAAGCTGGAATGTGAAACAGGTACAAGGATATACTTTGAAATATAAATCAAGTGAATGTCCATTATGACTTAACAATGAGTAATTCAGGCGTGACAGTAACAAAGATAAATGGCAAATGGAAGCAGGTTGGCGCATTGCTAAAAAAAACAACAAAAACGATACAAGACTAAAGAAATGTCCTAAATTAGAATGCATTTTTATATATTATTTTGTATTTATTTTGTATTGTCTAACACAACAATGATATATATGTAAACAAATAATTGTCTTTTGGTCTGCAAAACTAAATGTCCACTTCTGCTCCAAAAACAGCTACTTATTTTCATCTCTAAAATTAGGAGGATGAAGCAATCCTGTGGTCAGTGAGTCTGAGCAGAGGAGGAACAAGAGCAGGTTTTGAGAGGGGTCTGTGCTAAGGCACAGCTCAGAGGAACTATATGAGAACATGAGATCATGCAAAATAGCATCATTCTTGAAAACTTGAAGGGTGTGAATTGTAACCTCATTAACCTCAGAACAGCATACATGGACTAGTTCTCAGCAACAAATATGATTGTTCCTTATGTGCCTAACAGAGCACTTCGCTCTCAATCTGCAGGTTTACTAATGGTTCCTAGAATTTTTAAAAATAGAATGGGAGGCAGATCTTTTAGTTATCAGGCTCCTCACCTGTAGAACCAACTACCAGTTTTAGTCCGTGAGGCAGATACCCTGTCTACTTTTAGGACTAGGCTTAAAACCTTCCTTTTTGATAAAGCTTATGGCTCTGGTTGTCCTGAGCTTTCTCTGTAGTTATGCTGCTATAGGTTTAGACTTCTGGAGGACATAGGGACCCCCATTTCATCATTTTGCTTTATTCTCTCTCTATTCTCCTTCTCTGCAGAATCTGTTAGTTTAAACTCTAACCTTATGCCCTCTCTGCTTTTTCTCAGAGTAGCTTTGCCTCATCTGTTCCTGTTTGGCTGTGACACCATCCTGAAGAGAAATATCAGCTGTGCTGCTTCCATCTACACCCTTGTTGATAGATGCTGGAGATCGGCCTGTTTTCCAGTGTAGTCATGTTTCTCTGACAGTGACTGGCTGGATGTGCTGGATGTGCTCTCTTCATCCTTTGACATGGGAGTTGGCTCGGAGCTCGTCTGCCTGGCCGTGTGTTTCCTGGACGGGGACACCTTTTGCAGATGCTTTTTGTATCTCTGCTTCTGTCTCCTTGAACCCCAGTTGGCCTCAGCAGAT